GGCCTTTAAAAATGTCTTGTATGATATATTTACAAATCAAAATATTTATTCTCTTTAAGCTTTATCCTTGTAGTTTAAGTCCTCTTAGTTTCTCTCTTGGCCCGCCATAGGCGGCGCGTCCAGCTTGAAAAGAGTTCGGGCTAAAATGACAAAAAAATGTAATGCGATCCGTTGAACTCCTGTCACGCAAGAGGTTATGTATTTGGTACATTCCTGGCCAAGTTAAAAGATTGGCCTTGACCTCTTGCGTGACAGTCGTTCAACGGATCGCATTACATTTCTTGTCATTTTTTAGCCCAAACTCTTTTAAAGCTGGACGCGCCACCTATGGCGGACCAAAAAAGAAACTCAGAGGAATTAGACTACAAGGATAAAGCTTTAAGAAGATATACATTACGATTTGTAAGTATATATGGCAGACCTGTTCATGAGCCACTAAAGTTGACCTTCATTTTACCCCTGCGGAAGAGACGCGAAGTACTCTTTTTCAACGGGTTACTATTCAGACTTAAACGTAACAAAATAACAAGAAATTAATATTTTCTAAGAGATTCACGGACCATCTGCTAGCATACAAAATTTAAAAGCGGAACTGCATCGCGTTGTGACGTACGAAGTTGCATAATTTTTCATTGGTGTACGGGGGGGACAACGGTCGTTTAGGCGTATTTCGAACTTTTCGATTTGTCGGAGAAAAAAAGCACGATAGAACTTTTTTAAGAAAAGGTTCATTAAAAGGGTCCTTTTGAAAAAATAAAACGAACTGCAGCTGTTGGCGGATTCTCGATGAGTGGCTCTTAATTTATCACTTGCGCCAGACCACAGCGGTCGAGCTCTCTGAATACCCGGATTAAGACGAACATAATTCGAAACACGAATAATAGCATCGAGGTTTCGCATAATAGCATCGAGGTTTTGACGAACAGCATACGGACGCGGATAATAGCATCGAGATTTCGAATAATCGCATCGAGGTTTTGACGAACAGCATACGGACACGAATAATAGCATTGAGGTTTCGAATAATAGCACAGGGCACCCGCACAAGCGGCGTGTCTGGTCGTTTGTTCGAAATGTATGGGAGAATATTGAAGAGTCGTAGTATCGTAAACTTATATGGAGGAATGTATATGTTAAGGCTCAAAATAAATGTAAACCTACCTCACTTGCCGTGTATTGTCGTTTCTCTGGTTCTAAATGCGATTTGGTAGAATTTGCGTTCACTGTTGCCCAACGCAAAATCTACCAAATCGCTCAAATTCGCCATTTAGAACCACAGAAACGACAATACATGGCAAGTGAGGTAGGTTTACATTTATTTTCAGCCTTAACATAGATATTCCTCCATATAAGTTTACGATATTACGACTCTTCAATATTCTCCCATACATTTCTTTATATTTCGAACAAACGGCCAGACACGCCGCTTGAGTGGGCTCCCTGTGTACGGACACGAATAATAGCATCGAGCATCGAGGTTTTGACGAACAGCATACGGACACGAGTAATAGCATCGAGGTTTCGAATAATAGCATCGAGGTTTCGAATAATAGCATCGAGGTTTTGACGAACAGCAACGGTAAACAGCATCATAAAATTCCAAACTTAATTTTGGCAGTAATCACCCCTTATACATTAAAATTATTCGAAAGCTTGCTTATTCCTTCAGAAACCTAACCAATTCAAATTTGGTTTTAAATATTTTGCCGGAAACAGTTCTATTGCAAGAAGTGCACAATTTTTTTTTCTTTTCTTTCATTTAAGTTGCCGATATGAGGTTTAAGACAAAAACCGAGAATGATGGTAACTTACCTTGTTAATCGATGAAAATTTTAAAAATTCTTAACCCTAATCGTAAGCGATCGTTATCCCCACAGGTTTGGCTAGCGCTTGTGATATTGGAAAGAAAGCAAATGCAAATTACTTTTAGTCACCGCTGAATAATTGAACAAAAGTGATAGACTTTGATTATTTGTGCTTAGTGCAAATAGTGTAGACTTTTCGATCCCAATAGATGCCAGTGGGATGAACGATGTCTATTGAAAGTCATTTCTTAAAGGTAAATCTGATGCTAGAGGACTCAACAATAAAACTATTTTTTTTTTCTTTCATGCAGTCTACAAATAGTGGCTAATCTTTAATCTCCCAAACGGCAGGGGATTTGTCAGCCTATCAGGTTTCCCTCGCGCCTCTAGCAACAGCTGAAAAGCTGTGCAAAATTTCAGATAGCGCTTACCAATTTTTTGCTGTCGAGTTCAACTTACAGATTGAATTATTGATGACAAAATAGTCGTGCATAAAATTCTCTGTAAAATCTTGGTATTATTTTAAAAAATTGATTGGTCAATATTCTTGTATTTTGTATAGTCAAGCTGGTAGACTAGTGATGCTAACACTTTCGCTTCATTCATTGGCGCATTTTACTTCATTAGATGTGTATCCCGAGGAACATAACATTTCAATGAGTCCTTGATAAGTTAAGTTTATACGACAATTGATAAAACCATGAAGAGGTCATTCTTCGTCATAGTTCGCTTCTACTGTCGTTATCAGTAACACTAACAACGCAAAGAAAACTGAGCAATCCTTTCATATGCCCTTTTGTTGCTAAGTCACAAATCAATGAGAATGGAATTTCAAAACGATAAACATTGCGAAATTCTGTAGTTAAATCAACAAAACGAATCCAGTAAAGGAAAAAGACACCTAGCACCTCAGTTAAGGATAAGGTATGTGGAAATTTCCCTTACCGAAGATACCAGAATATTTTGTTACAAAGTGAGCAAGTGTCAAGTTGTATCAAACAATTTTAATGGTTCCCCCGCATATGCTTTGATAAAAGATTTGGTAAAATGCAGTACAAAAGTCAATTGACGCGCGAGATAATATTGGAGGGCCAAAAAGGGAGGAGCTGTAACCACTAAGGCTCACTGATACAGTGTGAAAAATTTGTTTCTTGTGAGTTTTTTGGTAGAGACAACCGTCGGAGACCTCTGAGCCTCCTAGGCAGAAAATCTTTACAGTTATAACAACTATTTTGTTTCACATCCCAGACAATTGGCTATGTATCTTTACTTAGGAAAAATGATCTGTCAAATCTGATGAAATTAACGAACGTTTCTTTTGATAAAGAAATAATGAAAAGATTAAAAAGAAGGAATCAAAGATAAAAAAAAGGTCAAAAACACTAGACTGATTCACTCCATACTTGATGAAAAACCTTTGTAAACTAAAAACAAGAGCCAATTATTGTCGCCAAGGGTACATGAGACAAGGAAAAAGGCGAGGCCGGGAATGGAAATCACTCGGCAAATTTTAGTTCACGGAAGATTTCTTGTGAAAATACAATATTTAAACAGTCGTGTTTTAGTTCAACTCTATTCCAGAGTCTTGATCAGGTAGAACCAGTGTTCAACTAACAGTATTTTTACCTACAGAATGGTGGTTCAACATCCTTGTGACACTATAGGAATACGAGATCTGGAATGGCGTTGATATCAAACGCATTTGCAAATTAAATCTTTCGCGAGCTGGACTTGTGTAACAGCGAAAGTGTTGCTCTTCTTGACACTGACTTTGAACTTGACGTAGTTGAGCCAACAGATCTAGACAGGTTGAAGCTAAACCATAATTATAATATAAACTAGAAGTTTCAATGTGGAAATGGGTGCTGGCTTCAGAACTTGAAGGAAATACTGATAATGCGATTTGAAACAAGCGGTATAAGAGGGGTTGGTGTGGCTTTTTACAAGAGAATTACTTGCAAGTTGTAATTGCTTGTAAGTTGTGAATATATTCATCAATGCTCGACAAAAGGAAAGGTAAGGATAAAGGGTGTCATTCGCATTGATCAACCCTTGTCGGCGTTCTTCATATTTTATGCTGTAAATATCGCAATCAAGCTTTTGTCCTTCAAAACTCGCGAACCGGGTTTCGGCAAGACCAACGCAATTTGAGGATTGTTCAACGTCATTGAGCAAACGACAATGTTGTGCTCGGGAAGTTTTCTTTTGACTCAAAGGTTGTAAAACAATTGGACTCGACGGTCGAATGGATGCTCTCCATGGATGGAATCGACTCAGAATTTGTCTCAAAGCCCGAACAGTCATTTGAGTTTGCAGTCGAATAGTTGGCTTCAACGAGCGATCCACATTTTGAATCTATGATTGCAAGCTTTTCTTTCGCCTCAACGGGCAAATGTCACTCAATGGTCAAATGATTTACCTCAACAGGCAGAGATTTTGAGCCAACGATCATATTTAACGCCTCAACGAGCGAAGAATACAGTGAATAATTTGCCTGTGGTACCGAAGTCGCTTTCGACATAAAGCAGTTTAGCTTCACACCTTCCTCTCTTTTCTTCCGACACCAGCAAGCTGCAGGCGGCAGTTTACTCCGAATATAAGTATTTTTGCTTAACACTTCACTGCTGCTGAATGCAGTGAGAAAAAAATGATCTCCATGAGGTAGGACTTGATCGATATCTTAGCACCTCCATTCGCGAATCACCAAAAATTGCTCACATCATAGAGCAGCCAAACATATAAATATCTCTTGTCTTCCTCGCGATTCATCACTAAACCGTTCATGACCTTGATGAATACTTCCACATGCAATTAAAGACATCCATATTAAAAACTCACCTCGTTTATCGTGTCCTTGATTTCTAACAGAGCGAGATGGTTACGTGATGTCATCACAAGCACCCTGGATAGAAAAAAACGCAGTCGACTGCGTATGTCTCCGATCTTACATCCGAAAAATTTTAGCTTTTTCTCGCTATTTTAAAGAATAGGCTGCTGCCATGCCTCGCTAGGGCTCGCCAGCAATTAAGGAGGCTCGAAAGGGTTTTTTTGACCGCGCGGAGAATGAATTCCAAGATACACGCAAGCAAATTACTCGCGAGAGAAATAAGCGATGGCGCGCGCGATCAGATCCGTGCCCGAGTTGTAAACAAACATGACCGCCATGAGCGTTTCAAAATTGCCGGGTACCTCTATTGTTTCCAGCAGAATTGGCCGTTTGAGAAACAAAAATGGAAAGTTCACTTCTTGAAAGTAGGTAGGAAAATGTTTGGATGGCAGGACTTTTGCCGAAAGTGGTCAAAAAAAGTTCAGGAATGTGTAAAATCACGAAACAATGTGAATCCATCTTCAGGATGTACGATCTTTTCCGCGCGTAGGGCATCCACCGATCAATCGCGCGGACACGGACTCATCCTCGCGAAAATGAGTCCTGGAGTCAGCGGTATCGTTTAAAGCGCGTGAAAGGATATAAAAGTGTGAGCTTAAATTGTAAAAACCGGAAATAAAGCTTGTTAAATTGATGATCTAATATCTCGAAAGTTAGTTCGGTGACCTACCCTGATTTTTTGTGTACAAATTATTTTCATCATTACGCATTCCTGAAGAAAATTTTAAAAAAATAATCTAGTGGAAAATTTTTTACATTTTAAAACAGCATTTTCCTATATAATTCAAGTTCTACTCGTTAGTTTTTTTTTATATCACGTATACAGATAGAGAATGTCATGATGATAAATGAATTTGAAAAAAAAACTAGGTCACCGACTTGGTTTTCGAGATATCTTTCAGAAACTGAGTATTAGAAGGTCTTTTAGCACTACTGTACTGTTGCCACGGCAACAGATGATGCCTGACGAGCCCCCTTAAAAGATTGCCCTAACATAGTGTTGAGGATATGTCAAGTCATTATCCCGATGATAAGTTTGACAGTCCTGATATCTTTTACTGATTGGCACTTGCTGTTAATTGTGTAAAACCCTTTCGAGCCTCCTTAAGTAGGATAAATAAATTAAAACAAAATGAAACGAAAAAATAGTACAAAACGTATTGGAGTCAATTAGCAATATGTTTTATGCTACGCGGGTGGCGATAACTGCAGTCACAAAAATTAGCAAAAAGGCAAGTATAGTCTAAAGCACTACACGCATGCGTGCACCTTTATGACCAATGTTATTGACCAACTGCGATAACCACTTGTTTTGAACATTCTGTTACGCGCCCAAACAGATCACGAGGTTATTATACGTCTCATCGGCATAGAAGAAACGAGTTATACAAATTCACTCTAATATGCTAAAAGAAACTAGGTTTAGATACAAGGTGTATAACCGACAAAGAAATGACGACAAACTGAACAAAAAACACTAACGGGGAGGTGAGAGAAGAGAAAAGAAAAAGGAAATAAAAGCGAAATAACGAAACTGACAATAAACCGCTAAGATTTTGCATTTAGTTTGTAATAATTTCCATTCTCAATAATGTCAGATGGTTCTGAATTTTCGGTGATCTTTAATCTTTTCAATACGGCCAACTAATTGATTGATACTTGATCAGGAGTATAGGAAAATACAACCTGGTATCTCAATCAAAATTTTATACGTCGTTTTAATTGTTTCAACATATAAACTGCTTTGTTAGATTGGAGGCGAGAAGAGGGGTCGAGTTTGGCAGGATTCACAATAAATAAATTAATTAATTAAAGACAAGGCCGACGCTACGATAAAGATTTAGTTAAATCCTAGCTTTTTATAATAATAAATAATTCTAATAAGCCATGACACTTCCTCCAAAGTCATCCAGTTTATATCAAGGCGCTCCTAGTCGATTATTTCCAATGTCTTGTGCTGACGACCTAAAATTGTCAAGAATTACGAGTTTTCTCATTAGTAACTTTTCCCTTTTGACAACCCAGGATCACAGATTACCAAAAAATCGCTTTATTAAACAAAGATATGTCGATTATTCATTAAGTCCGATCATAAGTTTATCAACTTGGATAAGGAACTTATTTAAGACGGCCGGGCTAAATCAAAGTACAAGAGGAGTTAAATACTACTCAACTTTATATTTCCGTCAAAGCACAAGAAAATGTAAATTTCCTCAAATGACGTCATCTTACTACAAGGTCAATGAGCTTAACAGTCTGAAATACGAAGAAAATCATTCATTTCCTTTGATTTAAGTCATGGAATATCTCAAAAATATCACTTGACAGCAAATCCGGCATTCATCCTACATATGACAGCATGGTACGTAAGAGCGGTCTGGCAGACAAATATTTTTTAATCTTTCCTGATACATGACGAAGGGCCGTATATAAAAGCATCTCAGCGCAAGAAATTTCTTTCGATTATAACTGACAGCTCTAATGAAAACTAAACGAGTTACAAATGACCTTTAAACGCTTTACTGGACCGTTATGAGATGCTATCAGTTTGTGAAAAGAACTTAGCGAAGGGAAAGTGCTGTACTTGAGAGCTCCGCAATAAGAGGCTTGTGCAAGTTTGTGGTGTAGAATTTCCGAGTCACATTCAAGTGGATTAAAAAGATATCAAGCATACTTGTATCAACACGCAAACACTGTCAGAAATCATCCGCCAGCGATAATTACAGCTTTACACTGCATTTAGACACGTTCTCGGGTCATCCCACAGAGTAAATCACATGTAACTCTGATTTGTCAGTCTTTGGGTTCGAAGACTTGCGGGAAAGGAAGTAATTCAACTCGTAATCTTCGCTTGATAATTCCCCTCTGGAACAAACCGTTTAAGTTTTTTATTCATGCAGTGAAATTCACTGAAGATAGTTGTGAAGTATTTTTCTGAGTCTGACCAAGGAGCTTCGATCTGCTTCTTAACGCAACTGCTCTCTGCCATCTGACAATGCCGATCATTTGAAGCAAACCAATTATGTAGATCAATTTCGCAGCGACCCATAACTGATACGGGATTCTCTCAAATCAGGTTAGTTTTATTATTATATAAACAGTTCAGTTTTAATCACGCAGCAGAATCCAACAGAATGGCACCGGAATGTTAATCATCTTTGTCTATTATTGTCCATTTGCTCCGACGAAGGGCTAACGCTCGAAACTTCAGCTTTTTGTAATCGTTACAGTGGCCAATTTACTATTTCAACTTTGTTGATATATCCAAATTATTTTGTCTATTATGACAATCGACACATTCACTTTCGCGTGGTTGATGTCTTAGCTTTTCCCTGAGTTCATTTTCAATCGAAGGTCACCTCTTTCAGTCTACAAATCTACTACAAATAATTTGAACATGTGAAACGGTGATGAAAACCGCTCTTAGGGTACCCAAGCTTCCATCTCCATCGTAACCCCACTGGTCATGCTAGCTTTACTGTCTTTAGTGATCATGGAATAATGACAAAAGTTTTATTCGGTAACGTCTCGCTTCGAATAATTCCTAAGGACAAGACATACAGATGCAAATTTGATATTCAGTTTATTTTTGGAATGACTACATCATAGAAGCAACAACTTTAACATGACCAGAAAATTAAAACAGTTTTCTCATCTCATCCCCCAACAATTTGTAAGTGAAGGTCCTTTCTACTCTTTCTGAATGAAACGAAATGGTCTCTCCTGATTCATTAATGGTTCTCTCTGGTTGATCAGCCGAACACCGATTTACTCTCAATGATGACGCAAGTTGACCGCAATAGTTTGTTTGGCAGTGGTGCTTAACCTTTTCCTTTCTCAATAATGTTTTTAAATTTCAAACCATTTAACCTGGGACAGGCTTCAAGCCTTGCTTATCACATTTGGAATTCCCAAATAGAACTTATCAAGAGTTAAATTTGTTAAGTTATCTGATGTACCAGTGCATATGACAAAGTCCTCAACATCAACACATGTCCACTTGTGACTGTCTGTTGCCTCTTTTGTTGAAGCTATCGAATCATTTATTTCAGGAGTTGGACACAAATGATTGATGGCTGACCGCTGACAGAATTTATTGTTAGATGTCACCGTTACAACGTTTAGTTTTAACAAAATATTGAAATTTCTTACGAATGGATTTCACTTTGTGTTGTAATCGTACCTAAGTGATTATGGATTTTGTGAAGAACTCTGTCAGGTGTTTGTTTACGGGCATAAAACGGAGACGCAGAAAAATCTTGGTTTATGTGCTAACTATCGTCACTCTATGGCATTTATATCTCGCCTGTACTGGACTTATCTTAAGCAGTCACATCCAAGTTGTGCGAGAACCTGAAACCTTGATACGTGCGAATTTAAAATTCTCCAGATTAAGAGAAAGAATATTTGGAAATGATCCCAAAAATAAACTCGAGGCGAAACCTTATGAATATCCAAACTACACAGATGAATCCGTGAAGTTGTATTCTGAGACTCTTGAACACGGAGATGCAGCAAGTCACGGCGACAACAAACAACGTTTTTCAGATTCAAATTCTGAGAGAAATACCACCTCCACAGAGAACATGAAGAGCTCGTGCAAGGAGTTTAATCTACCGGACGCAGATAAGAATTCTTACGGGACTTGTCAGCCTCATCAAGCCTCTCTAGACGCATGTGAATTTGCTGATTCCTTGTTCCCATATGACTCTTCATTGTCGCTATGTAAGACGAACAACGCTGAGATTTGTACACTGGAAACTGATGCACATAGTGGGAAGATAATTCTAAACGCCAAGTGTAGTGGTCAAGTTTGTGAAGAATACGTAAACAAAAGCGAAGAGGAAAACTCTTTGACTTACGGTGCGTACATTATAGATCCCGATGAAGGTTTTCTGGAATCGATTCGGGAATTTGAAACTGTCTCAGAGCTGGAGACTCAGCTTCCCCGCATTGCCTATTTAACTGCTAGAAAGAAACTAAATTTTTTATTCGTGAAATGTTTCATAATGTCGAGGAACGAGAGTCTGGTGTCTCAACTCATCCCCGTTCCCCTGCTGGTGACAATACAAGAGGCCTCTGAACCGCGACATAGAAATAACATCAACGTAAACATTGTTCTCTTAGATTCCGTCTCAAGGGCACATTTTTACCGCTCTCTCCCCAAAACAATTGAAACATTCAGGAAATTGAGCGGGAGTCGAGATAAGACCCCAGCAAGGGTGTTTGATTTCGAGTTATTTCAATCTGTTCACGGCCACACTACACAAAATGAACATGCACTGTTCACGGGCCAACTACTTCCATCTAAAGAAGAGGACGAACAAGAACCTTCAGACCCAGTGCGCGCTGATGTGATGTTGGGACATTTCAAAAGGGCAGGCTATCAGACCATGTGGCAAGAAGACCTCTGTTGGACGGGAATTTGGGGACTAATGGCTGACTTGGCAGCGGAAGACTGGGAGGACCTACAGATCAGACTGAAAGAAAACTTTATTGACAGTACAGGTAAATGTCACTAAATAATGATAATAATAATAATGATAATAATAATGATAATAATATTAATAATAATAATAATAATGATAATAATAATAATGATAATAATAATAACAGCCCTGTATAAGAAAAATATTGTGGAACGGAAACTAAAGCCTTGGGTTCCTTTCTTTGTTTTGTCCACCTCTGCCACAGTCATCGTACCTCTCCGAGCTGAAATGTAAGACAGCTCCCTGTGATTTGAACTTTCTTTGCCGGGTGGGAGTGGACCTCGTGTGTTATCTTCGTCCTCTACCCCACACCAGAGTATCAGTGCCTGTGAAGTTTCACTCCAGTGAGAGAGTTTCCCTGTTGTTTTCAGGTTTGACGCACTCCAGTTGTGAGGTGTTGGGTTCTTTTGGTCTAGAAACGCCATTCAATGGACCCGAGGGGGATCAGATCTGCTTCAACGGCAAGCTACAGCACAGTTATTTTCTCGAATATTCAATAGACATGTTGAATATTATAGCTTCATCCAGGAGATACCGTCCGCTATTCTCGTACACTGCTCTGAATGTTGGACATGACGAAACAGGACGCAGGATTCAATCTTTGGATTCTGACCTGGCTCGCTTTGTTTCCGTCATGGCAAACAATAAAAACACCCTGAGTATTGTGTTAGCAGATCATGGAAATACCTACACACAGTACACGTCTGATGTCTTGGAAGGACGCTTCGAAATGTTCCATCCAAGCCTATTTGTGATTGTACCAAACAAAGTTGCTGAACTACTGGGACCAGTAGCTATGGCTGCTCTTGAAGTCAACCAGCGAAGACTGGTGACCATGTTCAACTTGCACCATTCCCTTCTGCCGCTAGCTCGGCCCCTGCGGGGAGTTGTAAAACCTATTGGGTTATTTACTGCCATATCACCCAATCTGACATGCAATGATATCGAACTGAGGACACCTAATTTATGTGTATGCAATGGTTGGGACAGCCCCACCACCAACGACTCCTCAAAAATTTCCTTTGCGGAGTTCGCCGTCGGTGAACTTAATGAGATGTTACAAGCCGAATTCACTGAACCTATTAATGGAAAGTTACAAAAGCATCCCATGATACGCTCCTGTGAGAGATTACGCCCTGTGAGGTTTCAAAACGTGCGGGAACGCAACTCAAAATCAGACGGGGAACTGATCACGAGTTTTGACATTTACTTCCGTTCTGGTGACGTTGTCAAACAGAAAGAGGACATTTTCCATGTAGAAGTGAAGTCTAAAGAAATGGCCAATCAGTACTCACTGCAAATGGAACTTGTTAACTATGATCGATTGACCCTCTTTGGAAAGTACCAAGCATGCGCAGATCAAGGGGCTCATTTGAAACTTTGCATTTGTTCCCGAAGAACAAAGAAAAGGTTGACAGAACTAGAGCGTGTTCCTTGGTTAGAATACTCTACAATTCTATCAAATTCCCCAAAAGCCAGAAAAGTTGGTGACGATCAATGTTTGTTCTTGTTAAAGAGAAACCATAGCTTGGGGCAAAGTGTGGCTTTTGAAATTGCCAACATTTGTAATGAAAAAATATTTTATTTGAGGATATCGGCGAACTTTGAAAATATGAAGCTTTCCAGAAAAGTTCCATTTGAAGTAAAAGTTCAGCCTGGAAGCATTAAATTCTTGTTATCTGCCCGGATAGCGGTTGATTTCTGGAGCACATTTATTGAAGTTGACGTGGATATAAATGAAAAAGGAGTAAGTTATCCACCATCATAAATGCTGGTTTTAAAATTGTGTGAAACGTTAAGGGATGGTTTTAAAATTAATGAAACGTTAAGGGATGTTCAAAACCTTACACATAAATTGATTTTGTTCAGAGGGGATCTCACAACACATTCAGTTGACGGGAGCAGGGTTGGCGTGTGGGTAGCAGGGTTGGCGTTGTGGAGAGCAGGGTTGGCGTGTGGGTAGCAGGGTTGGCGTGTGGAGAGCAAGGTTGGCGTGTGGGTAGCAGGGTTGGCGTAGTGGTGAGAGCGCTCGCCTTCCATCAATGTGTCCCGGGTTCGATTCCCGGACCCGGCGTCATAAGTGGATTGAGTTTGTTGGTTCTCT